CCCCGGGGCCGGCGCCGTGGCTGCTTCTGCCGCCGCTGCCGCCGCGCGCCCTCGATGGCCTTTTGAAAATACCTGTGGACTTAGCGCACTCACGTAGACAATTTATTTATTTATTTTAGATGTCTTGCCCTAGGGCACATGCTCTTGCTGGAGAGAGAGACAGTGAGAGGGAGCGTGTGATCTCACCCCTGCAGGGGTGGCCACACCGCAGTCCTTCCTCTTCCTTTCTCCTCCTGGCATCTTGAGCATGCACTTGTCTGGTTTGAGTTTCAAGCCGCCAGGTCTGGGACGCCAACCGTAGTCAGCCACGTGGGATATACCCAGCAACATAACCAGCTGCTGCCTTGTGGCTTTTTATTTATACCTCATTCCTTCTGGAAATAATTTTTGTTTTCAGCTCGGTGTAGGGTGCATGCACTCACCGGAGAGAAAAAGGGGAAGTGAGAAAGGCCCCTGGATATGGCCCTGCTCTAGTCCCTTCTCCTCCGTTCCCTTCTCTGGATTTGGGCATAGACACACACACACACCTGGTGGCTTTCAAGCCCCTGGGCCTGGGACTAGAACCGGGCCATTGTCCATGTTCCATCCAGTTGCGTTACCTACCACGCCACTGGCTAGCCCCCATCCAGAGAGTTTAAGGCAACCAAAGTTCACATCAGCATGGCTATGCCTCTGTGCTCAATTCTGGGAGGCTGGAGGGCGAGCCTTGCGTGTCTCACCGGGTTCTAGGCCATGGGCATCGTGTTCAGACGGGGTCTCTCCTGGGGACATGACTTCCCAGACCTGCTTCCTGGCTCCTCCACCCTCAGTGCCCAGCACAGGCCTGAGGCCTGCTGGCCGCCTTCCAGCCTGACTGCCCCTGGGAGGGGCACCTTGGAACATGGCTGCTGTGCTGGGGGGCAGTGTCCACCACCCGACCATGCCCTCTGTTGTGGGGGCTGTGACCCCTCCGTGGCGGGGCTGCGATGCCCCCTAGTGGGGACTGCGTGGCCTTCCTGGCCCCGGTACCAGGGCGCCCTGTTCAGAGTCGAGCCTGCCTGTCTGTCCAAATGACTGGGAACTGGGCCTGTCCTGAGCTCTTCCGGCTGTGCTGTCTGCCCCTGCGGCAGTGGGCCTGGGGGCTGCACACACTGACCCTCTCTCTTAACCTTCCAGGGGCCATGACGATGACTGTGCCACCAGCCAGCTCGGAAGCCCAGGTACTCCGGAGCCATCCCACAGGTCACTGGGCGAATGTTTAGGCCGGCCTGGGCCACACGGCGTGAGTTATAGTCGTGAAGTCACACGACTGCACAGTATGGCACCATGCGGATGAAGCACCCTGAGGCTGGCCACGGAGCTGGAGGAAGCCCCACAGAGGGCAGGCAGTTGGTGACCTGGCAGGAGAGTGGGGACTACAGGGAGACAGGGCCACCCACCTCGGCCGGCCTGTCAGCCAGGGGAGGGAGGGAAAGGGAAGTGGTCTGCAGGGTCGGCCTCCAGGGCAGAGCTGGAGCCAGGAAGTGACCCTGGGGCAGACAGGAAATGAGGTGACCAGTTCCTGGGAGGTCCCACCCAGCCCAGAGAGGTGTCCCTCGTGTTCCCTACAGTCACTGACACAACCCTGAAGGGATGGCCAGGGTTTGACGTTTATCATTCCACTGACTTTTTGTTGTTTTTTATAAAGAATTATTTTATTTAACTTTATTTATTTAATTTTAATTTGACCAGAGAGGGACAGAGTAAGAGAGAAAGTGAGAAAGCAAGCCACCAGGTCTAGGACTTGAACCACAGTTGGCCATGTGGGAGTCCAGCACCTTTAACCACTATGCCACCTGTGGCCCCTTTATTATTTTAAAGAATTATTTGCCTTTGTTTTTTTGAAAGAATTATTTATTTCACTTAATTTATTATTATTATTATTATTATTATTTTCTAGTTTGATCAGAGAAAGAGAGGGAAGGTGAGAAAGCAAGCCACCAGGTCCGGAATTTGAACCGTGGTCGGCTATGTGGGAGTCCAGCGCCTTTAACCACCATGCCACCAGCCCGCCCCACCCATCGCCTTTTAAAGCCTCCCTGTTTTAAAAGGGGTCCCGATCCCTCTGTCTTCACACGTGGCCATGTGCAGGCAGCATGCTGCAGTCTCCCCGGTTTTGTCTCAGAGACCTCCTGCCCTGCCCCGGGCCACTTGCACCTGGCCTGTCGAGGTGGGCCAGGAGTCGGACCCGGGCCTGCTCCGCGGCCTCAGCCTGCGAATCAGGGTCACCCAGCCCGCAGCCTGCTTTTTGGCTAAGGGCATGGGCACTTGCCAGAGAGGGGAGGGGAGGAAGAGGCCCCGCGTGGGAACGGCCGGGCCGCACCCTTTCTCCTCCGCTTCTCCCTCTCGTGACCATGGGCATACACTTGCCGGCTTAGCTGTGCCACTACGCCACCAGCTGGCCCTTGTCTACTTTAATACCTTTCTAAAAACTATTTGCTACAGGGTACATGCACTTACTGGAGACAAGTGAGAGAGGGAGAAAGGAGGGAAAGTGGGGAACCACCCGGGGAACGGCCACGCGGCAATCCCACTTCCTCCATCCTCTTGGGACTTTGGAGACGACATACATGCGCCCAGGGTGTTTTGCAAGCTCTTGGCCCTGGACGTCAGTCGGCCGCATGGCACCCAGCGTCACTCTCGCACCACCGGCCGGCCCAGGCCTGTCCACCCCAAAGAGGTTTTACGGTGGTCTGTCTAACACCCAACAGTGCACAACAAGGGCGGGCCCAGACCCGGAGGGGGCGCACCTCCAGTTGTGGAGAATTTAAACACAGTGGAATCTACCGAAGCCTGGGCTTTCCGGCAGCTCCTGGCAGCGCCACGGGTAGTGCACCCTCTGCCTGGGGTGCTGTGGCGTGAGCAGACCTGGCTCAGGGTTGCTGGTGAGCTCTGCGAGGGCACATTGTGCTGCAGTTTCCTGATTCGAGCGGGGAAATGTGTAAAAGGTCTATCCACAGTGCAGTGCGGGTGTTAGTCAGCTTTGCCACTGCCGCATAATATTTTGGGTAATTTATTCCACCCACACACAGCGGTCCCAGAGCCGGGAGTCCAGCTCAGAGGGGCAATCCCTGCCTACCACCCTGAACTTTGCACAGGAAGCCTGTTACTGAGCATCTTAAATACACATACAGAGAACTTCGTGAGGGGTCAGGACCATTTTTTGCGGGGACCCATGAGTCACCCTGATAGCCCCACCCCCGGGAAATGGGGCGGGGAGCTCCGGCCGCTGCTGCGGGACTCTGTATCACCCTGCAGTTCTGCTGCTGCGTCCTGTGGGGCAGTGGGGCTGGGCCAGTCTCTGGACTCTGGCAGGTTGCCCATGTGGTTCCTCACGGGAGAGCAAGCTTTCACTGTCTTCCAGAGAAAGTTTCTGGCGACTCAGGGTTCAGAGAAGCTTAACTCTCGGGGCTCAGAGAAGCTTAACTAGCAGCTCAGGGCTCCGAGAAGCTTAACTAGCAGCTCTCGGGAACTCGACTGGTGCTGCCCTTCCCCGTGTAACTGGCAGAAAGCGGGAGACATGCAGCAGCCAGGCTGCGCCGAGCGGGGCTGGGCGGGGCTGGTGGGAAGGGCCCAGGTGCTTTGCCCAGCTCTGTCCTGCAGGTAGTGGTCTCCGGTGGACCTCTGATCAGCAGACCTGGAGCAGGCGTGAAGTCTGTTCCTGCCATGCCCTTGAGGCAGCTCTCTGGAGACCACGCTACCCTGCCAGGTCTGACCAGCGTTGGCCTCAGCTCAGGCCTGGCTCTGTGCCCTGGGGTGTGGTTACCTGGCTGCAGCCCCCAACAAGGCTGGGCTGCTCCCATTGGAGCTGTGCTCTCCCCACAGACCGGAGCCAGGGCCTGACCCCTCCCAGGCCCCTGCCAGTCCCTGGTCTTCATGGCATCTCTCCAGGGCAGAGAAGGCCGTCTTCCCACTCTTGGCCCTCCCTAAGTGGCTTTTACCACCTGCTCTTGTTCTGCCGGCTCGAATTCCTAGGGCTCCTGGTGGCAGGTACACGGGAAACAAGAGAGAACATGGGGTCCCCGCAGGAACATGAGGCCTGAGTGACTGGGGCAGGGACAGCTCAGGGAGGGTCTGTCCACCTACCACACCATGCCCACCCTAGCCCTGGACCTGCACGGTGAGGGGAGTCTGGCTTGAACCTGGTGGTTGGTGGGCATGAGTCTCATGCCTGAGGCCATGCCATTTCACTGCTCTGTCACACCCCCGGAAGGCCGTGCCCGGTGTGTTCATCACGCAGCAGCTGGAGAGCTTTCCAGCAGTTCTGGGAGGGTGTCCACATGCGTGTGCTTTCTCTGTCCGTGCCTGGACGGGGACACGCGTGTCTGGGGACCCGATCATGCGCTCTGCCCGACTGTTTACCAACGTGACTGCAGCTGGGATGCCCGTGTGGCCCTGTTCCCATGTCAGTGGGGTGTGCCCTCCGGGGAGACAGGTGGCTGTCCAGGCTGGCCTGTGATGGCTCCATGCCAGCGGGCCTCCCCGCAGCCAGTCACGACCAGCACCGTCTGGGCGGCTCCCTTCTGTGGGCCCCCCATGCTGGCCTTCGCGACTGGCACGCTCTAGACCGGCTCCCGTCTGCAGATGGTGCAGTCCTTAGCACGCTCTAGACCGGCACGCTCCCGTCTGCAGATGGTGCAGTCCTTAGCACGCTCTAGACCGGCACACTCTAGACCGGCACACTAGACCGGCACGCTCTAGACCGGCACGCTCTAGACCGGCTCCCGTCTGCAGATGGTGCAGTCCTTAGCACGCTCTAGACCGGCACGCTCCCGTCTGCAGATGGTGCAGTCCTTAGCACGCTCTAGACCGGCACACTCTAGACCGGCACACTAGACCGGCACGCTCTAGACCGGCACGCTCTAGACCGGCTCCCGTCTGCAGATGGTGCAGTCCTTAGCACGCTCTAGACCGGCACACTAGACCGGCACGCTCTAGACCGGCACGCTCTAGACCAGCTCCCGTCTGCAGATGGTGCAGTCCTTAGCACGCTCTAGACCGGCACGCTCCTGTCTGCGGATGGTGCAGTCCTTAGCACGCTCTAGACCAGCACGCTCCCATCTGCAGATGGTGCAGTCCTTGGGCTTTGTCATCTACCGAGCGCTGGACTGGGGTCTGGACGAGAGTGAGGAGCGCGAGCTCAGCCCACAGCTGGAGCAGCTCATCGACCTCATGGCCAACAGCGACTGCGAGGACGGCAGCTGCGCTGCGGACGAGGGCTACGGGGGCCCTGAGGAGGAGGAGGCCGAGGGCGGCCCCCGCGTGGTGCGCACCTTCGCCCAGGCCATGCGGCTGTGCGCGGCGCGTCTGACCAACCCCCGCGGTGCTCAGGCCCACTACCAGGCCGTGTGCCGCGCCCTGTTTGTGGAGACCCTGGAGCTGCGAGCCTTCCTGGCCAGGGTCCGCGAGGCCAAAGAGGTGAGTGCAGCTGGCCCCAGGCAGGAAGTGCCGAGAGTGTGAGGTGGGGACAGGCACGGGAGGTGCCATGGCTGGCGGTGGGGGGCGTGTCACATGGGTGGGCGGCCGAGGTGCTGCAAGGTGAGGAGGAGCAGGCGCAGCTCCGGAGGCCCAGCCGCCCTGGGTTCATGGATTTCCCGTGGGGTCCCGTGGGGGTCCAGCTGTGATTCTGTCATTCCTCTGTGGACCCAGAGCTGGGAGGCTCCCTGTCCCCAGAAGGCGGACTCATTGCCCTGGGTGTCCCATGCATGGGTGTGGCCTCTCAGCAGCCTCTCACAGATGGCACTGTCGGCCTCGGAGAGGTCAGGGACACCTGCTGGTCCTCCTCAGGTGACCGAGGTGTCTGCCGCTGGCCTTCGACTACCCTGACCTCTCAGGGGGTCATTCCTCTTCCTCTGACCAGCACCCTGACCCTGAGGCCAACCAGGCGGGGCAGTTCTGGCCAAGGGCCTGGGGTACAGCCTGAGCCACTTGGCCCTTCATTCCATGGCCCAGCCTCTGTCCCCAGGTCCTCCTCGTCATCCTGGAGGTATCCTGCCATCTCTGTGACTGGCAGGGCCTGAGGCTGTGGTGTGATCACCCAGACGGTGGGCCCTTTTCTCAGCAGGAGCAAACGGTGCCATGTGGGCAGTGTGGGGGGCTCTGGGCCTCCATTCTGGCCTGCTCGGGAACAGTGTCTACTCCAGGGAGGTGGGCACTGTCCTCGTGGTGTAGTCCAGGGCTGCTCAGGGCCCGCAGGACACTAGCAGGATCCACTTCCCTTGCGCTGCTCAGAGAGCCGGCGGTCTCTAGAACACCCGCAGCAGTTGGGCCCCTGGCTGCGAGTGGCAGCTGGGGTGAGCAGTCTGCTGGGTTGGGGGCTGTGGGCTAAAGGCAGATGCTTGTGCTGGGTGGGGGGTGAGGGAGGGCAGAGGCCGCAGGCCGCCATGAGACCCGGGGCAGCCCAGGCAGCAAGTCCAGCACTGTGGCCCAGACTTTGCGTACAGGGCAGGCGCATGCTGGTCCCAAGCCCATGACGGGACGCCCACATTCACACCTGCACCTGCGACTTCCCCAGGCTTTCTGGGAAGCTCACTCCCCCAGCCCCACACCCACTCACTTGCTCGGCAGTGCTCAGGGACCTGGCATGTGCCGCCATGAGACACGTCCGGGCTCATGTGTAGAACAGCTGTGGGTAGATGGGGACACGGCCCAGCAGAGTGTCCTGAGCAGGAGGTGCGTGGACTGAGACTGGAAGGAAACAGGGACCCCTCACGGTGAGGACAGTGGGGCTTCCACTCCTGTGTCTGCTGCGTGTGCACTGGGGGACAGGACTCGGGGAGAAGGTGCAGTTGTCCCTCCCCCCCGGGGACCCAGGGGAGAAGGTGCAGGTGTCCCCCCCCCCCCCGGGGGCCAGGGGAGAGGGGGCCGGGGCCG